GTTTCTGGTTGGTCAATTATCCATCCCCCCATCCGGTGGTGATGTTTGCAGTTACATGTTTGCGGCACACTGAGCAACATTTTGTTGACAGGTTTTAATGTCTGTATTTTGTTATAATTGCTAGAATCCCAATGCACACTCACACTTGTTGTTATGAGTCTTTTTTGTTTGTTTTTTCTTTTTAACACATCTTGAACATTAAGCAATACAGAGGTTCCCCCGTTTATCGCGGGAGTTATGTTCTAAAAATAACCCGTGATATGTGAAATCAACTTTATTTTATGTTTTTTTTTTTGTTTTTTTTTTACAATTATTATAGATGTTTTAAGGCTGTAAAAGTCCTCACTACAAAATTTATAAACTTTTCTCAGACAGGCATGAACGTTTTCACACTTTTGTTTTCACGTTTAAACACTCTCACAGTCCAAACCTTCGTAGAAAAATAAGTCCAGTATTATAAAATGAAGCCAAAGGCACCGACCTTTGACGGTGCAAAACGTTTCATTGACATTGTTGTGTTTGTTGTGGAGAAAACCTACAAACATGCAGCACTTCAGAGTCACACTGCTAGTAATCGAAGATTTATGTAAATTTGACAAGCTGAACACATTCTGTACTGTACAGGGTACACGGCACGAGATTGATTGACAATCTATAGCCAATCAGGACGCAGAACATGATGCACTGCAAAAACAAACAAACAAACAAACAAAAGCTAGAAAAAGTTGCATTTCCTGCAAAAATGCAGTGTGAATGCCGTGTAGTGGAATCTGAAAACAGCAGAAGAAGGAGAACTATCTGCTAAAAACACTGTGTAGAAGCTGAACTCTGCTGAAAACTCCTTTATTTGAAAGACTACACTGAAGAGTGTCAAGAAAGCAGGGAAGATGTGCAGCCAGAGCCACAGGTAGGATTTCAACCTGCGCTATCTGGTCTCAAGGCGGCTGCTCATCTCACTGAGCCAAATTGGTTCTCAGGTGACTGAAAAGAGATGAAACTGAAAATTGTCCTGAAAAGAGGTGAAGATGCTGAAAATTCTGCTGAAAACAGGCCAACAAGCTAAAAATTCTGCTGAAAAGACATGAATCAGCAGAATTTGTGCTGAAAAGAGATAAAGAAGCTGAAGTTTGTGCTAAAAACAGCTAAAGAAGTGATCACACTGATAATATGGTCCCATTCAGCAAAATGGGCCAAAAAGTGGCATAAAAACCTTTATCTCAAAAAGTATGAAAGTTATCAGATTGGTGAAAATCAGCTGAGAACTGAGGGAGTAGTTAACCAGCAAAGGTCGGAGCAACTAGAATAATAACTAGTAAAAGTTGCATTTCCTGCGAAAACGCAGTGTGAATGCCTTGTACTGGAATATGCCAAAAACAACTGAAAAAACAGAATGATCTGCTGAAATGAGATTTAGAAGCAGAAGTACTTGCTGAAGATGGCTGTATGTGAAAGGGTACACTATGCAGTGTCAATAAAGCAGAGTACATGCAAGTACGGAAGATGTGCAGCAAATGTCACATGTAGAACTCGAACCTGTGCCACTAGATCTCACAGCAGCTGCTCTTCCCATTGAGCCAAACCAGCTCTGGTCTCAAACAAACATATGATGAGAGAAAAAATGTTCACTGTGCAGAAGAAGCTAAATGGTGCTGAAAAGACCTTAAAATGCTGAACGTTAGGCAAAAAAAAAAGATAAGGAACCTGAAAATTGTGCTGAAAAGAGGTGAAAAAGCTGAAAATTGTACTGAAAAGAAGTGAATCAGCAGAATTATTTTTGCTGAAAAAAGGTTGAGAAGGAGAACTTTGCACTGAAAAGAGGTGAATCAGCAGAATTTGTGCTGAAAAGAGGTATAGAAGCTGAAGAAGCTGCGACAGTGACTTGGCATATCAAAGAATCAATATTTCTGGAAAAATATCTGTAAAGAGCACACTCACTTTGTTTTTGAAGACTAGTTCAAATTCTGTCCTTTTCTGCAGCTGATCATAGAGATACTCAGCATTCTCCAGACATTTGTTGACTTGAGATCCAAAGCCGTCTGAGCCCTCACATATTAAATAGTGGACATAGTGAGAGAGACAAATAGTTATTGTTAAAATGACATAAAGACATCTTATAACCTGGTTTTGTTTAGGGGGAAAATTGAAACCATTTGCATAATTACTACAAAAAATAATTCATGATATTCCATTATATTTCAATAATTTTACTCTTTACTAAATGTTTGATATGCTTATACTTAAAGGTTAGGCTTAGGTAAAGGTCAGAACGTCATTTATACAGAGAGGTTATGTTACTGACACTATCGCACACACACCCACACCAACATTGCGGTTTTAGTTGTACTTTAAAATATACCTTTGCCTTCCACATCAGCCAGAGTTTAAACACATCAACGTGTCGGCCACACTGGATGCTTTTATCTCCAGTGTCATAGCTCACATCGTACGGTTTGTCCGTCTGAAAAAGGTACTGGGCCCCCAACTTATTACACTCCTGTAAGAGACCCTGAAGATGAAAGAGGCAGAAATCATTCATACAAAC